CAGGATCTGATATTTTAACCGTACTTGCAGATGGAGCTGAGATAGTATAGATAGCCTGGGGCAGCTGTGCTCTGAACCTGCAGCCTACCTGGAAGCCAGGATTGCAGCTGCAGGCACTCTTAAAAGCTTTTGCTTGCATAAGCACTTGGGCCCCACTAGAGGCTGAATAGCTGCTTGATAAACAAAATGAACACAATGCCTCAAATCATTAATTTTAACCGTACTTGCAGATGGAGCTGAGATAGTATAGATAGCCTGGGGCAGCTGTGCTCTGAACCTGCAGCCTACCTGGAAGCCAGGATTGCAGCTGCAGGCACTCTTAAAAGCTTTTGCTTGCATAAGCACTTGGGCCCCACTAGAGGCTGAATAGCTGCTTGATAAACAAAATGAACACAATGCCTCAAATCATTATTCCCGAGGCCAGGAATATTCTTCTTCTTCCTTCCCCCCCCCCTTTTTTTTTTTCCCTTCAGCAGCAGCTAAAAATAGTTTGGCAATTTACATTTTAACAGTTGCGTGTTATGTAGGGTGGCTTTACAGTCTAGCAGATGATTTCTGCTAGATTAACAAAAATATATTTAAAATGTCAGAGAAGCTAGAACACATAGCAGTGCAATTTTCATGTAATTTATTACTGTAATTCTAGGCGAGTAATAAAGCTTACATTACATGTTTAATATTTAGTAGCATCAGCCAGGTAAAGAGATCATTTTAGCGAATGAAAAATTTCTCTCATTTCTCTTACCAGGCTTTAATTTTAAGAAGCAGTATTTTTCAAATGGTTTTCATTTAATTCTTCTTCTGTCAGAAGAGTGGAGACAACAAAATGCTGATAAATTTTATTTGTATTAACATTGTACCAATCTGCGCAATAAAGTGCAGTTATCGTGAATAAACAACGATTGCGGTGCTGCAATTGTTAAGTACTGTTTCTCTGTATTACAATCCTTTCAGTGCTGAATAGAGCCTTGAAGTAAAATGGCATATTACAAAAAAAAAAAGTGGTATGAGATATTATGTGTTTGGAAGATGACACAACTAAATTTCACTGAGCATCATAGGAAATTTAAATGGAGTAGAAAATTATGGAAGTGTTGTCTTAATTTTAAATATACCTTGGTAATAAGTCAGAATGTATTGTGGGAAAGATAAAAATTGATTTAGCTAATAGGTAGTGCAGAGAAATATTAATTTTCCATTAATAATACGGAAAGTCACAAGAAAGATGATACTTATGTTATTATACAAGTCTGTATTTTTTAAAACTTTCAGTTTCTAAAAGATTATTTTCTGCAATGTTTTTGTGTTAGCACAGGGCTACCGTGTCAATGGATACTCAACAGTAATTTAATTTCCTAGATAATGTAATTTCATAACAATCTTTTAAGAAATAATGATTTTTTTTTTTTTTTTTTTAAATCTTCCTCTCGTTTGTTTCTTTTTCTCTTGGATTTGTATGGTATTTTCTGGAATTACTTGCTTTGAGGTTTATCTTCTTCATGTGTTCTTATCAGGGCCTAAAGTAAAAATAGTTACAGAGAAAAGTGCTAATGTATTGTTTAGTTACTTTCCGGAATGCAATTCAATCTGAACTTGTCCTTTTACTGTAAAAATTAAATGCATTTTTAAGTGTTGCTGTCCTAAGTTGCTAAGTGGTGAGTCATTGCCCAAAACATTTTGAATGTTGACATGCAAGCATTTATGTTAAACTACAACTACTAAATTTAAAGCCTTGTGGGGAGGATAGAAACTAAAAAATCAGTGATTTTTTTTTTCTCACTGTTAGCTCAAGCCAGGCTTGAGTGAACAGAAAGATTATGATGTGCTGTTTATGGGGGGGGGGGAAATACTGTTCAGTGAGTTACATTATCCTCAGAGATTCGAAACTGTTGTATTTCTGAGAATTTTTCTGATTGTAGGAGTTACCCTAACTAAGCCAAGAAACTAATAACATCATGTGACTTGAAACCAGTTGTAACTGATCGGCGGGGCTGCGTTACGAAGAGCAGAGTATCAGGGTTTTCAAAGAGCTGTTCAGTCTGCAGAGGGAGAAGAGAGAAAAGTAAAGCTCACTTGGAAATGCCCAGGGAGATTGCCATCTAATTATAGATGGGCTGTGAGCAGAAACATACTATTTACATGTGTAGTCAGAAAATATTTCAAACTAATATTTATGTTTAGTACCATAATCAGTAGCTATCATGAGGTCATAATTCTAAGAAAAATAGTGTGAATATCTATCGTCATTCTTTTGCCATTTAACTAGTCTCGTATCAGAGAAATAATCTGAAATACATCACCTCTGTTGATTTTTGTAACAGAAGATCAGCTGTGACACACAGGTACAAATATCTGATTGTTTTCTGTGTAGTGCCTTTTCTAATAACTATTCTGAATATTTTAGACTTTCCACAGTACCTGAGACTATCAGTTAATATTAAACTTTACATTGCCACTTATTAAATAAGAGATTTTCAAATAAATATTTTCTAATATCAGAGATCTTTTTCTAAATTCAAACTCATTACATTTTTCAATACATTTTAGACAATTTATAGCTTGATTATAGGGATTCCTCTTATATCACCCTCTATGGTATGCATATAGTGGGTGCTAATTTATTGCAAGAACACGTTACAAAGCAAAGCTAGAGAAAACTTGGTTTGCATGCATAGAACTACCTCCCAGACATTTCAGGCACTTTTCTTTTAGGTATCACGCTAGTCTTTTAAGAATGAGTTTGAGAAATTTATTTCAAGAGATGTCTCATAAAGATGCCAATGATGCCAGAAGAAAAATAATAGATCTTACTCCCTTCTGTGCTCCCTCTTTCCTCCACCCCTCCCAAAGGGTAAAAGGAGATTATTTGAAATGGTAGAGTGGAAAGGATCCAGACCTCTGAATGTTTATCTGAAACCCAGTTTTTGAGACATTAATGTTTAGGTTGTATTAAAAATAATATAACGTTCACCATGCTGAGTGGACTTTCTTTAGAGAATTATCCTCAATATTAGCAAGTTCAATGTGTACTGAAATAGCCTGGTGTAAAGCAACATCCTTGGAATACTTTTATGAAGTCTGTGGCTCTGAATAAAAACTTCGGAGCATCCTGGGTAGATACTTCGTGTGATGTTTAACTGACTGTGTTGTTGTGTTTAACTGGCTTTCTAGTGTGCCTTTTTTCTTTTTCCCCGTGGTAAGATTTGTTCCCACTGGCCAGAAATGGTGTCAAAATGTAAAACGCAGCATTTAGTTTGTTCAGAGCTGTTCTGAATTGCCTTGCGCAGTCAAGTGATACATTCAACTGTCATTCTCGTCTTTAGTATCTAACACTCTCAAAGGCAGCAGTAACTCGCCTGACCCTTGCCTCTGATGCTGTGCTGTGTTTTAGAAGGCAATTTTAAATAATGAAATTGAGCAAGTAAATCCTTATGGATAATGCAACACAGAACTTGCGATTTCTTCCTCGTGACTCAGTCTTCCATCTTCTCTTCTGCTTTATGCTCGTTCTTTGGTCACCAGAGTCGAAGGATAAAGTTTTTAGGGACTTGCTCTATACTCCTTTTTAAGCACCATGTTCATCTGTGATCTTGAACAAAAAGCAATTATATGAAACATCCAACCCTTAAATTATGTTAGAAACCAAGTAAAAGTGTTTCTTTGAGATTTTATATTTAGTAAGAAAAAGACCTTGTTTTCTGATGAGGTTATTGTAGTTTTTTTCAACATGGCCTTTATTTGAAATCTGTCTGAAAACAGCAGTAACCTCAGATTATAGCATCCTACCAGCTCTTTGCTATACGAGAACATTTAGCTGTCATTAAACAACTAA